GCTCCAGATTCTGCCTCTAGCTAGCTGCACAGCCGCCTCAGGCAATTACTCCCATATCTCTGAAGTCACATCCGATATTCTTAGGAAATATATATTTTAGGCTTATTTCACAGGTATTTACTAATTTTGTGTTCTGATCTCTTAAACACTGTTTCCTGTTGGTGACAAAGTATGATAGTGAGGGGTGATACCTGTGCTAACAGGCTGGTTAGTGACTTTTACTGATAGTAGGCCAAATCAAAAGCAGTGTGGTGTTGACTGGCCACAGATTGAACACAGCCAAGAAAGAATTCTATGGTCAAACTCAAAGTAGACAGAGTGTCAGAGGCAGAATACAGCTGTAAGAGGGGAGGAGCTTTTAGCCAAGCAGGGATAGAATGGGCCCAGAGAAATGAGGGTTGGCTGGAGAGATAAGAAGCATCTTAAATTGACCACCTGAGAGGTACTGTTCTGTGAGCTTGGTATCACTGGGCTCTCTGGAGACAGTTGCCTTCACTCCAGAAATAAAAATTGCAGTGAGTGATCAAGGCCATTTTTTTTAAATTTAAATGAGAGGTTTGGTGCTTTAAAATAACTACCATGGAATTTATTTGTTTAATTAAGTATTTATTTATTTATTGTCTCAGGGATTGAATCCAAGGGTCACTAAAACACATTTCTACCCTTTTGATAACAGGATCTCACTAAATTGCAGAGGGTCTTGCTAAGCCCAAAGGCTGGCTTTGAACTTGTGATCTTCATCATCTTGCCTCAGCCTGCTAAGGTGCTGGGATAATAATCACTTACCACCATGCTGGCTAACTACCAGCTACTTTTGAAAGCTAGCTCTGTTTAGAATAAAAAATCAGTTGTCTTCCCCCTGGAAACATAATTGCTGAGCACTATCCATTCAAATTTTGTAGTTTACTTAATGATCGAACCAGGAATCCCTGATATTGGATAAATGATACTCAGAGAATGAGAATAAAGTCATCCCAAATTTAAGTAGAGAAATATCAGCTTGAATGCCATACACTGACATTGCACACTTGTATGGAATCTTTGGAAATAAAAACATGTATCAGGGTGTGTAATACACTTATTTGGACAAAGATCTATTATTTGTGAAAGAGCATAGAAAGTATAGATCATCCTGTGGATGGGAGTGCTTCTATGAGTGGATAACTGGAAATGTTTATATTTTAGTGAAGTACATAAAACCTCTTATAGTGTACATGGTAGGCAATCAGTACATGTTTAATGTTTGACTAATCTTAACTCTGAGTAAGTTTGATGTGGATGTTTGGGTATTTTGTGGTATCATTGCCAAGGAAAACTTATATGCAACAAACAATCCTTCATTTTCTTTACCGATAATATTACCACCAAAAGAAGAGCTAAAAGAATTGCATAAAATCTAGTCATAATTATAAAAAAGCATAACCAGGGGATTTATTTCTGGAATGTGACAAGGGAATAATCTGAGGTGTGTCATTAATTCAGTTTCCTTTACTAATAATACTAAGTTTTCTTTATGTGTCAGCTTCACTCAGTGGAGTCAGTAACGTAGATTTCCCTTAAGGAGAATTATCCACCCAACTGACAGACTGCATAGAACAAAAAGCAAATGATGGGAGGTTTTACCTTTTCTTGCTTACTTGCCAAACCTGAGACATAGTATATTAAAACCAATAATAAGAAATGTTTTCTTAATGTGTCAAAATTTATATTTAAATATGTATATCAGCATGATTTTTATCATTTTTTAATTACATTTAGCTTTTTTACATATCTGTAATTTGTTTCTGAATGCACAAGTCATATTCAACTTTAGGCAGAAAATTTCCAGTCAAGCAGGCCCAATACTAACTTATTAGAAAACCTACACCATGGCATCATTGCATTGTGCATTTAAGTTCAGGAGCTATTCTTGTAACCTACATAAACTGCAGTTAACTTCAAATACTATATTTGGTTTTGAACATGGAGATTGCTCATCTATTTGGAATTTTGAACCTGAAGGTTATCTAAGAGCCTTTATAAAGGCCATGCATCTAGGCTGCTTCAAAGCAAACAGCAAATAGGAAGAAACTCACCCTGAAAACCACGTGTCTCCTCACAGGAAGTACACAACCACTACATTTTCAGAAAGTGAACTTTCTATGTAACGGTAACAACTTAGATATTTCTAAATATCCGATTTGACATCCATGTACATACTTCCCTCAGTCTTTTTACTAGAGCAGGGATTTCTTCCTTTAGAACCAGTGAGAAAGAAAAAAAAAATCTCCCTTTAATGGGGTACGGGGTGAAAACAAACAAACAAACAAACAAAGCCAGGATACTTTAACAGTCCCAATGACCCCAGGTGGGTTCTGATGTCAACAAAGTACATCAGAACAGGCAAACCTCTTCATGCCTGGGGCCTGCAGGTGGGGCAGTATTGAGTCTGGATTTCAGGGCATTTCGGAATAATCACTCCCACTTGGCTGCCCAGGGTGGCTGGGTGATGGGTAGGTTCTGCAGCAGGGCCGGGTTCTCAAGGGTCCCCACAGGGAGTCCAGAACAGGCCTTGGCGGTGCTTTCTCAAATTCTGACCTTATTCCACCTCTCCCCCAACCCAGTCCTGAGGCTCAGCACCAGTCCCCAAACAGAAAACAGAAACTCCCCAGGCATCCCGCATCTCTCAGACTCCCCATAGACCCTTATTTTCCACAAAGCCACCCAATGCGTCCGGGTCAGGGACCCTGACCTCCCGCCATTTCTCCACATCGCTGAAGCACAAGCAAAAGGAGAGAATCTCAAGGTGATACCTCAATTGGGCCGGCGAAACCAGGTTCTGGGCCCGAGATCCCCACCTGGCTTCCTTTAGAGCCATATTGCCTCACTTGGCAGCAGCATATGACATCTGCCTCAGCGTCCTGCGCCAGCAGATCCACCACCTTTCCTTTGCCCTCTTCTTCCCACTGCAAGAGGAGCACTAAGGTCACCGTGTTCCCTCCGCGCCTCGCCATGGGAAGGCCGCAGTCACCTTTGGGCAAAGAGGAAGCTGCTGGATTAGAGTCCAGGAACGTCGTGGCTCAGGTGAGGCAAAGCGGACAAGAAAGAGAAATGGCGGGCAAAGAGTGCCCGAACTGAACTTCTCTGCTGCCACAAGCCACATGCGGTAGAAGAAGGAGCCAGAGGTCGACCCCGCCCCTCTCCACCGCCACCCCCTGTCCACCTCTCATCCCTGTCCACCGCTCCCCCCTCCACCACCCCTCCCTGCCTCCACCGCCCCCCTGCCCCAACCTCCCCTCACCTGCTCCCCCCACCCACCCTACAGCCAGGCCCCCTGCTCCCACCGCCTGTTCACAGGGGGACCCTGAGTGCCCCGTGCAGACCAGACTCTGCAGCATCCTCCACAGGAACTGGCCCTGGAGGCAGCAATTGCCATGATTTTTATCATTAGATAACAAGTAAGCTTTAGCTTAAAAGACAGAATAAAATCCAGAACATATCACTGGTGTTTCTTGACATTGTTCTGGTTCCTAAAACATATTTAGAAGAGAAAATACAGCAGAGGTGCAGCAACTGGAAATGTTGCCATTATTATCTGAAAATGATTGTTAACTGAGAAAAAAAAATATAAATAGTAACTAGAATACGTAGAAACAAGGAGAGTTCTGTACATTTCAAAAAACAAGACAAAAGGATTTTAAGTGTATTCTCCTAATGATAACATTTTGAGGAAATAAATAGATATGACCTAATTAAAAATTCTACAATGTATACAGATATCAAAACATAACACAGCACTTCATTCATATGTACAATTTTTATACTTTAATGTTTCAGTTAAGAAACTAATTCTAAAAACATAGTTAAGAACAACTTAAACACAAAAAACTCAATGTTTTTCATATAAAAATGATACAACTACTATGATGCTAACATTCATGAGAGCAAAATATGGAAATAGCAAAGAGTATTGAGTACACACACACACACACACACACACACACACACACACACACAGATATTTCTGCCTGTATAATTCTGCCCATTCCCAGGTGGGAGAGAGATACCAGGAGTTGGTACATTTTTTTTAAGGTACCTACTCAAAGAACCACGCAATAATTCTCACTCCAGATTCATTCCAAGAATCCTGAGTAACAATTTCACAGATTGCGGGTGTCACAGGTTTATGGGTAGCTGCCTATCATTACTGGAAGCCTAAAAGTAAAAGCAAAACTTACTTCAAGAATACTCAGTGTAGTTTTGTGTGCATTCCATAGCACAATTATCTCATTCTGTAATCTTACAATCTTTTTTTCTTTTATTCTTATTTTTTATAAATGACAGCAGAATGCATTGCAAATCACATAACATATATAAAGCAAATTTTTCATGTCTCTGGTCATATACAAAGTATATTCACACCATTTGTGTCCTCATACATGTACTTAAAGTAATGATGACCATCTCATTCCACCATTTTTTCTACCCCCATGCCCTTCCCTTCCCCGACCTCTCCTTTGCCCTATCTAGAGTTTGTCTAATCCTCCCATGCTCCTCCTCTCAACCACACCATGAATCAGCCTCCTTATATCAGAGAACACATTCATGTTGGCAAGGATGTGAGGAAGAGGTACACTCATATATTGCTAGTGGGAAAAAAGAAAAAAAAAAACCCACATATCCATATATATATATATATATATATATATATATACATATATACACATAGTTCTAGATGGGTTTTCCTTTCCCAGTTTACAAAACTGTCATAGATACTAGTGATCCACATTTCTTTCTTTCCAACCTGAACTCCTTTTTGTTGATAGTTCCCTCAACATAACAACATAGAGTATGAACAAAGATGAAGTCTAAGTCTAAGGATTGCCCCAGGGAGATGATTAGAGCCACTGCCCTCAGACCCACCACATCCAGTTTCATCTCCACTCCTAGAGTCTATGGAGTCACTTCCTTCATCCTCTTTCTACTTGTTCTTTGCTGACCCTTATGAGGGATGATAGTTGTTAGTTGATTTCCATCTGAGCAGTGTTGGGTGAGTCCCTCCCTGGAGACATCAGTCCCTGCTTCTTTTCAAGGCCTTCTTGCAGACTTTCAGCTGATGGGGACTGTTGGTCTATTCGTTTGAACTTGGGGTTTGGGCCTCCTGCTTTGGTTATGTTTTTACGCTTCCCATAGCTAGTCTCTTTGTAGGAGGCATACTCCTTTGGTGACAAACTCATGAGCCAGAGGTCCAGGTCCACCCTGTACTGTTTCTGCAACTCCTCAGCCTGTCTTGTATATTGTTCCTTCATGCTCTGTGGGACATGCTGCCAGCGCCTCCCAATCTCTACCATACGCTCCCTCAGGGGCAAATGTTGCAGCTCCCTACTAGACCATGAATCTTGATGAAATTTGTGATATCCATTCATGGGAGGCTTCTTGGGCTCTCCATGAAATTTCACCTTCTCAGAAAATCCATCAGTTTCTGTTAGAGATGTCACAATTTTTACATTTCCTTGTAACTTCTTTCTGGCTTTGGTTTGGCACCTCTTATAGACATCAGATGTTTTGGAGACCTGAGCTAGATCAGGGTGATTTTCTTTGAAACATGCCAGTTTTTCTTCAAATTCCCGTTTCTCCTTCTGAAAATCCTCAATATATTTCTGCTTTGTTTCTTCTGGCAGCTGCTTGTATTTCTCAGTCAGGATCTTGGTCAACTCCTTGTTGTTCAGCTCAGGGTGCTCTTGGGAATACTCAGCCCAATTCTCCTTGTAGAAGCGGATGTAAGCAGTCAGGGGTTTTTTTGGGAAGTCTGGATGTTTGTCATATTTTTTGCATTTTGTGGGAATTTTAACACATTCTTTGGCTTCCAGAACTAATTCTTTCAATGTACGTAACTTCCTCAATTTACGAGAAATCTCTAACCACTTGCCTTTGCACATTTCTGCAGAGAAATGCTTAAAAGCTATTTTTTCCCAGTCCATATTTGAAAGGGTTGTCTTGAATGTTTCATTATCATTGCATTGAACATTATTCTCTATATTTTCCAGTAACTTCAGAATGTTTTTGTCTGACCAGCAGTCTTGGCTGTGGTATGATGCCATTTTGAGATTTCTCTCTGGGCCACTGAAAAAGTCTCAGTTGTTGAAAAAGTCTCAACAGGAACTCAAACTCCTCCAGTCTCACAACTCAGCAGATAAATTATTCCTAGAAGTTCTGTAGTATGTGTGATATTGTATTTCAAAACAGAAAGAGAAAGAGGGTTATTCTCTTTCATTAGTTGTTAATGAAAATAACCAAACCTCACTTGAATATGTTGCTTGAATAAAGTTAACAATGTAAATGGAAGAATATTTACATCTAAAATAAAATTTATGCTTGCTTTTTATATGATGCATGTGCAATATTTGAAATCTCTACCTCTCCAGCCAGGCTGCTTCCAAAATCTTGGCAAAGCCTCCTTGAAATAAAACAAAATAACACAAATGCAGTCTACTCACTCCAAAAGCTTCAGATAACATAAATACCCTGAAGACCAAATAAAAAGACACAATGAAGAGAACTGGCTTAAAGGGAAATGTATTCCATTCTGTCGTGCCCTAAGTTAGACACTTCTAAAGGCAGCCCAAATAGGTATCAGTAATGGTGAAGCTAAGGAGTTGGAAACAACATAATCCAATGAACTGCAGTGAACACCCCAAAAATGCCTCAATCATGGTCTATGGGTAGAAGGTGGACATGCAACCTGTGACTGATGAACAGATGCTTCAAGACCCTGGCAATCACAAACAAAACTTTTCTAGAAAATCATACTATCTCTCCTTTCAAATGGTAAGGTTTCAGAAGAATTACAATACTTACAGCTTTACCTGGCTTTCTAATTCTTATATTGTAGTTTCAATGAAAGTACTGCCTCTTTGAGAGTCTCTTCAGAACATTTGTTACCTAAAAGAATTTCAATGTATAGCGAATCTGGAAGCTATTATTTAATTACCAATCTTGTCTTTCATAATGCAATACTTCATCATCAATGTGGTTAGAAAAATGAGAATAAAAACAAACTTAATCATAGAACAGAGAAAGTAACTGGGATAAAAGTGACAATTACCCAACAAAGTTGCAAAGTAAATGCAAAAGTAATTCCATACTCTGTGTTTATGGTCACAACTTATTCTGAAATGTTTGGAAAGAAAAAAAACATTATTTGTCTTAAACCACCAACTATTTTGTAAGTGGCAATTGTTAAGAATAACAATAGTACACAATATATTTTGAGTTTTTATACTCAAAAAGACATGTATAAAATTAACATTGGAAAAGAAGTGTGTAAGAGCAATGCACCCCACAGTCATATCAAACTCACTATTTACGAGGAAATCCACCTTTGGAAATACAAGAACTCCAAGATTAAATGGCAGCTAGTGTTTTCCAATATAGTTTGCTTTTGAATGAATGACTGGAGGGCCTGGGGTTGGGGCTCAGTGGTAGAACACTTGCATAGCATATGGCAGGTGCTTGGTTTGATCCTCAGTACCCCATAAAAATAAATAAAATAAAGGTATTGTGTCTGGCTACAACTAAAAACAAAACAAAAAAAATGAATGACTGGAGGTCATCAAACTTCCTATTTCTAAATTGGAATAAATACTGAAAACCCTCTCATTTCTGGCACCTCATTGATTCACCAATGTCATCCTTCCACAGCCATCAGTAGATTCTGGCTTGCCATTGGGCACTTTATAGACCAAAGCTAAAACCTGAAGTTGCTGAAAATAGCATGGTGCACATTCTTCAGGGCTTTCTAGTGAAGCTCAGATCCCATTCCCAAATAAAGCTACAGAACATCAAGAATTTTTTTCTCCATAAATTTATAATTTGGATACACAGGGAATGTAAAATAAAATACATTAACTTCTATATTTTAAAACAATGTGTGAATGAAAAATAAATACATGATTTTTATTAAATAGACTTCAGCATCTATTTTGGGAAGCCTTCTGAAAACTGAGTTAAAAAAAACTTAAGAGAGAAAGTATGAGTTCATTTACTCAGAACCCAGTACTCACCTGAAGACTGTTTACTCTGTCTTGGCAGCACTTGCACAAATATTCATTCAGCTGGCTCAGGGTTTCTGTGTCTTCTGAGATCTCTGGATGACAGGAGTAACCAACCTATTGAGGCTTCCACACTCTAGCCAACTCCAAATGCCTGTAAAGAGAACATAATTTTTCTTTGAGAAGCTTTTATATTAGTTGTGATCCTTAAAGCCCCACCCTGATTAGATTTCTGCAGGATAGATTACTAGCTTAATGGCAAAAGGTCAAGTGCATTCTTGATCCAATTGACTTCTTTTCTATAACCTGAATACATTACAAACACCTCTAAATGCTGGATATTCTCTCTCTCTCTCTATCTCTCTCTCTCACACACACACACACACACACACACACACACACACACACATTTCTACATTGAAAATCAAATCAGTCAGATACCAGATATACCAAACTCTTTGGCCATATCAGATTTTTTTTTTAAGTCCTAGAGATTGAACCCAGGGACACAGACTGCTTAACCACTGAGCCACAACCAAGCACACACTTTTACTTTTACTTTTTTTTTTTTTGAGACTGAATCTCACTAAGTTACTGAGGCTGGCCTCAAAGTTAGCATCCTCCTTCCTCAGTCACTGGGAATACAAGCATGAGTAACTGCCCCTGGCTGCTTCAACATGTTTTTAAAGAAACATTTCATCCACTTCAAATGTTTATATCTAAATAAGTTAGTAGTAATTAACTGAATATTAGTAATAATGGGTTATTATTTAGAAAAGACTAAGTTAATGAAATATTTGAGTAAATGGTTAGTTTTACAAAATAGTAGCTAACAACCTGGTTATAAACTATCCACATTATTTAGGGAGGTTTAGGCACAAGGATTCCAAATTCAAGGTCAGTTAAGGAAACCCTTGTCAAAATAACATTAGTACGGCAAGAAATGTAGCTCAGAGGTAAAATGTTCATGGGTTCAATCAGTAAACATTTTACAATCATTGATATACATAGACATAGAAACAATGTGTGAATAATACAATATTCAGAAGACTAAACTCCTTAGATATTTCAATGGAAGTAACTTGTTGAGAATCCTTTTAAAAACTTTTCATTATTATAGCTGTACATGATTTATTTTCAGCACTGCACATTGAACCCAGAGGCACTTTACCATTAAACTATGCCCCCAGCACTTTTAATTTTTTAAAACATTGTTTGCTAAATTTATCAGCTCAGTGGTCCAGTTCCTCTGATCAGTCCCCAGTACAAAAAATATAAAAAAGAAAAAATGTATGAACTACAAAATTACATATGATTTTTTTTGGGGGGGAAATAGTTGCTAGAGCTCATGTGGCAATTGTATACTTACCTTAAGAATGACTCTATGGTTTCAGCAGTTCTTGCTTCAGAAGTGAAAATATGAATTACACTTCAGGATCATGCACTCAAGGTGTAGAGGGGGTCAATTTTGATGTCATTCAGCCAGGTAAGTTTCAAACTCTACTCTGGAGAAGAATGAGCTGGTCTCCTGGAGTTCACTTTTATTGAGTTTCTGAAGACCACACCCACTTCTTCCTTGATTGCATTTCAGGATGCTCCAAATCAGAGTTAGTGTAGATAATTGGATTAGTATGGGTGATTAGATTACTGTGAGTGGTTTGGATGTGTGGGTAATTAGTTCTCAGGTAGAAAAATTTGATGTAATCTCTTCTCTAATCTTCATAAACAAACATCCAGAGTATTGCCAACAGTTACTGACTTAAAAAAATGAATCCCCAAATTCAGATTATATCTAAAGATTTTTAGTTTTGTTCTTTTATTTTTCACCTTTAAGAACAGAAAGAGGGTGTCATCATATGTGATTTTTTTAGTAAGTGTTTTTGAACGTTTATAAACATTTTTCTTTCCGACTTTTGCTTTAGTTTTATTCTCCCATGTGGAGAGGGATTTAATTTAGAAATATTGTTTTCCTCACCAGCTGAGGTGGCCCACACCTATAATCCCAGTTCCTGAGGCTGAGGCAAGAATATGAGAAGTCCAAATCCAGCCTCAGCAATTTAGTGAGGCTCTAAGCAACTCAGCAAGACTCTATTTCTAATTAAAATATTAAAAAGGGTTGAGGGTGTGGTTCAGTGGTAAAGTGTCTCTGGGTTCAATTTCTGTTTAAAAAAAGAGAAAGAAAAGAAAGAAAGAAAGAAAGAAAGAAAGAAAGAAAGAAAGAAAGAAA